CCCCAAAGGTAAACCAAAAGTTTTTCAACATAATAGTTATTACTGATTACTGTTATCCCTGCAAATGGGTGCAGAGTGACATAGCAGAGTCCCAGGCTGAGAGTCAGAGGACCTGAGTTATCTAGTATAAGTTGTGTGACCTTGGACAAATGATTGATTCAATTCAATAAACATGTTTGTTTATTGGGGGAGGCAAGGATGAAAAATGACAAGATCACAGAATCATAAATTTAGAGTTGGGAGGGACCATCTAGTCCAACTCCATTTTACAGATGAGGAAATTAAGGCTCAGGGAGGATAAGGTCACACAGGTAGCATGTGGCTGGGCTGAAATTCAAACTCAGGGACTCTGATAATAAATTTTATGGAATTTTTTGAGGAACAAAGAAGTTAAATAACTTGTCCAAGGTCAAGTAGGTATCGGATGATGGAGCCAAGTCATCAAGATTACAATCCGAAACTATCCACTATGACACATGGCCTCCAAAGAAGCGTGGTCACTGCTCTCAAGGAGATTATGGTCTATCAGGGAGGAATCGGAAGAAAAAAAAATCACTAACAGGTACTTTATACAAGGTAAAATTGAAAGGAGGAACAAAGGAGAAATGAAGAAAAAAACTTAAGAAAATCTGAAGGGAGAGAAATCCCTTTTAGTTGGCAAATGAAGAAGGGTTTCATGGAGGGCACGATACCCAAGCTAGACTATAGAGAAAAAGAGAAGGATTTCAATGGCGTAAGATGCAGCTAGAGTTCATTCTAGAGAAGAGGCTTGTGAAAATACATCAAGTCAAGAGAACGCAGATTAAATTCAGGCAATAGGAGACCAGTTTGGCTGGAACACAAATCTGATGAAGGGTCATAGTAAGAGTAAGGTTGGCTGAAGCCAGATTATAGAAGGCTTTAAATACTTGATGAAAGCTTTTATGATTTATGATAGAAATGCAGTATCTTGAATGTGGAGTTGTTTTTGGATGGTGAATTCCAAGGTGTAACCACTCCAATAGGTAGTTTTTGTGGGTTGATAAACTGAGGTTAGGATGTTAGGAGGGTAATCCACCAAAATCCTGACGCCACCAAAGATGGCTATATGGGCTGGGGTTCTGGAGAAGAGAATTCAAAGACACTGAGGAAGGTAGGAACTTGGCTTGGAGGGTGGGAGATGACAGTGGAGAGAGGGATAGTCCTCACCACGGAGCACTCTTTCTGACCTTTCCCCTATTTCTCCTTTAAACTTTTCAAGAAACCCTTAAGCTTATCTTAATCCAAGCCTCATCTATAGACTATGGATTTATTATAGCTATATCACAAACATTAAAGAAAAATTGCAAAATCAAGCAGACATTTGAGAATGGAGGAAAAATTCTTCTTTTTTCTTCTGCCCAAAAAAGTCTATGTAAAATTCTTACCAGTCTCATTTCTCTTTTCAAATTATGTAGAGACCAGATCAATCCTAGAACAGTCAGTTACAACTAAAAAACTAAGACTATGTTATGTCCACAGCTTGATCTTTGACATGCGTAACTTATATTAGTCAATCCTACTGCCTTTATTTAACCTTAGTTTTTGATTTGCCTATTTAAAATGAGGATAATGCTCAAGTTAGTGCATTGCCTAAGAATATAGAGAATCTTTCCAAACTATAATTACAGGTATTTCAATAATACCTCTCAATTTTGGGATTAGCTGCTTTCCCCCAAGGAATCTGATGAGAGTACTATGGATTCATGACAAAAACCTGTTTACTCAAATCACTAGACTGATTGGGATTTGGAGGGGGTGGTGGAGTGGAGAGGAAGGAGGATAGAATCCCTTGGGCTACAGCATATGAAATAACCCCGAAATCAAGTTCAAGTCTCTCAACTTCCAGAAGAGGAAGCTAAGGCCTAATTCAAACCAAAACCATATTAAGAGATTTGAAGGTAACAGTGAGAGGTAACAGTAATGAGGGAAATTTATTCCAGGAATGGGAAAGAGTCTGTGCAAAGGTATGGAAGAAAATGATAGAATGGCCTACAGTGACCATTGTGTGCCAGGCACTATGCTGGGGAATACAAAGAAAGGTAAAAGACAGTACTTACTGCCAAGGGGCTCATGGTTTAACGGGAATATCAATTTGTCAGCTATGTGGAGGATGTCTTGAAGAGGGGAGACATTAGATGCAGAGAGATCAATGAGACTACTGTCATAGTCCAGATGTAAAGTGATGAGGTCCTGAAGGAGGGGTAGCAGTAGGCATGGAGAGAAGGGACCAGGTGCAACATATATTGATGGAAGTCTAAGTGATAAGCCTTGGCAACTGATTGAATATGGAGGGGAGAGAAGAGAGAATAAAGAGTAGAGGATGCTTCCTGAGAAGAACCTAGGCGATGGGAAAATGGAGGTGCCCTACAGAAGTTAAGAAGAAGCATGAGATGGGGAGAGGGAGAGATAGAGTTCTCAGTTTTAGATGCATGTGAGACATCCAGTGTCCAACAGGCAGCTGATGTTGTCCAATAGGCATTTGTTTTGGTATCTCAAGCATTAAGCTAATCTTGGTCTTTCCAATGGCCCAGATGCTACCCAATCCCTAACTGTAGAGGATGCCTATGCATGAAATAGTCTGGTGGAAAGAACATTGGATCTGGAGTCAAGAAACCTGGGTTGGAATCTTGGGTCTGCCATTTACTAGCTATGTGACCTTGAATAAGTCACCTAACCTTTCATATGTTCATAAAATGATAGTTGTAGAGCTAAAAAAGGATATCAGAAGCTATGTACTCCAACCCCCTCAAATGACATCTGAGAAAACTGAGACCTAAGTAAGCTAAGTGACTTACCCAAGGTTATGCAGACAGTGTTAAAAGCTGGATTTGAACCAAGGTCTTTAACTCCACAGTCAGAGCTTTTTCTGTTGTAGCATACTTTCTGAGTCTCAGTTCTTCATCTGTAAAAACAAGAGTAACAACCTGTTATTCACAATTCTTTGAAGTAGGTAGTGGGGGCACCAAATGAGATAATATGTAGAAAGCACTTTGCAAACATTAAAATACTATAAAAATGCCAAGTTCAATATAATAAACCCAAAGTCAGCTCTTTCTGAATGACCACTATGGCTAATAGCTGCTATTTCTTGAAGGAAAGTTCCATCAAAACAAGTAAAACCACTAAAACCATCAGGATTGTTTTTATAGTCTCTAAATGATCAATGGGATCTATGCCCAAACTATTCATCTCGGTCCAGTCATACTGAAACTTCCCACCCATTTCCAACTTGCTAGAGTTCTGCTAAATAGCCATTAACTATGAAAGCAAAGGATTTTATTTGCTACTTATTCATTTATACTTAGGTGGATATGAAGTCCAAATCTCAGAACAATTAGGAATTTATTTTCAGGTTACATATTGACTAGGTTTATCACTAAGACACACCTTGGTCAGACACTGTCAATTAAAGTTATTCTGTTTCATGAATAATACAAAGTTCTATGTACCTTGGCAACCACAAAAACTATTATGCTGACATTGAAACTTAATCCATCCTTATGCAAAATGAAGGTTGTGACATCTGTTTGGCTTTTTTTATTATTGTGATTATTTTTATGCTTAACCTTACTACTAAATTATAAAGATCCAAAAGGGAAAAGATGACCTTTTCCCTAAATAATGCATCTCTCCAGTGCCTAGCACAATGTCCTGCTCACAGTAGGTACTTTAAAGCACTCATTAGTCTTCTTTTCAGCTGCACTGGATATGGATCAGTCAAGGAGCGAATTTTTCCTTTTCTCTTTTTAAATGAAAAGGACTTGGCTCACAAGCTCTTAGCCAAGGTATTCTGATCATTCAGACTTCCCAATCCAAGAATGTGATGTGAAGAATTATAAGAATTTTTAAAAACTAGAAGTGTGTGTTAGTAAAGAAAAAAAATAACTCAAGACTTTATTACAAATTCATGATACGTTTATTGATTACTCAAGGAACAGACATTACAAACATGGTGTGCTCTTAGATTTTTGTTCCCAAAATATCATCTTAGCAAAAGGGTAAGTGTGCCCTGTGTGGGAAGGACTCAGCTAAGGGCTAAGTATACCTGTACCCCTTCTTTGCCCAGCTGATGAATGACAACTTAAGAGCTGTCAAACCTTCAGACATCACTGCCACCTGTTGCCAGAAGCCAGTACTATTATCTTAAAAATGATCATCCTCTACCCCAAACAGCTTTCCGTTCCTTTCCATTCATGAAAGTACTGAAGAGGATCTCATCTAAGGGAAGAGGAGATAGAACAAGGTTCATCCAAGATTATCACTTAGATAAACCATCAAGGAATGAGGTCATTCATGCAACTACCTCTCTGTTCTGAACAATGGGTCATAAGACCATGGATTTACAGATGGGAGGATGCTAGGAGGATGTCTAGTGTAATGCCTCATTTGACAGATGAGAAAAATGAGACCCAGTAATGTAAAGTCAGTAAGTAGCGAAGATTAGATTCAAACCCAAGTCCTTTGACCATCAATAAATTGCTCTTTCCTATCCACCATGCTTGTGACTCCATGTTCATTGGGGAAGTATATTGACAAATGAGACTTCTCATTGACAAGCTACAGAAGGTTCAAGAAGAAAGTGACTGTGCAATAAAGAAGGCTTAGGGAAGACTAGATGGCTGTCTTCAAGTACCTTAAGGGATGTCATGAGGAGCAAGGATTAGACTTGTTTTGTTTGGTCCTAGAGGATAAAACCCAAACCAATACATGATGCAAGGAAAATCTTCCTAATAATTTTTTTAGTTAAAAATTTTGCATTGATATTTGACTCTCATATTATTGTTTCACTTTTGAATTAGTTGATGTTTTTTGTGTTATTTCCTATCTTCCTAGGCTATAAGCTCTTTGAGAACAGGAATAATGCCTTCTCGTTGCTGGTAACTATCACAGTGGTGGTGGGTGGAAATGGCAGCAGGGTGCAGGGGAAAGAGCTGGGACCTTCCAATTAACCAAAGGTTTGACCTTGGGTAAGTCACTTGACCTCTCTCTGAACTTTAGTGTCTTATAGATTTAGTTTCTTAAGGATAGTAACGCATACATTACCTGCCTTCGCACAGTAGTTAAAAGGAAAATAATTTGTATGTAAACAATAAACATGAGTTGATAATAATTCTAGCAATAAGACATTACACACCTCTGCCATGAGTCGGGTGGACAATTTCCCACAATAGACAAACTAGTGAACTTGACTTTGATTCCTTGCTAAATTCTAGACATGGTTTATTCAATGACCTCAGAAGGGTGTGTACTACAAGTTTTCATCCTGTAGGTTCACTGAGTAGTCTGGGAAACTAACCCTCTTTCTTTCTTTTTTTGAGAGGGGATAGTATATCTGGGTTTCAATGAAATGTCAGGCAAAGGCTCTCAAGATGATCTTTGTGGACAAAATGGAGAAATATGGACTGAGGGTACTGTTAGGTGGATCAATATAACTTAGTGATCAACTATGCTACAGAAGTATTGATTAACTGCTCAATGTCAACCTGGAAGGAAGTTTCCAGCGGCATGCCAGGGTGCTCTATCCTCAGCCCAGTGCTGTGCAACAAAAAATGTTATTGAAATGAACACTAAGTGCTTGCTACAAATGAGATATTGTGCTGGATCTTGGGGAGAAAAAGAAACAAAAGTATCTGACTTATGATAATGACTCACATTTACAAAGTATTATGAGGTTTGCCAAGCTTGCCTCAGAAATCCAGAGACAGATAACATGAGTATCATTATCCCTATTTAAAAAAACAAACAAACCTGAAGCTCTGAGAGGTTATAGGACTTGTCCGTGACACAGAGCTGGTAAGTATCTGGGTAACTTCTCATCTGACAGCATGGTTAGGACACACACACAAAAAGAAATGCAACACAAGGCAGAATGTGGTTAGTGTTAAGGGTCAGACAAGATGCTATGAGGAGGAATGGGTCATTTTCATCCAGAGGGATCAACAAAACCTTCATGGAAGTGGTCACTTCTCAGGTGGATGAAAATAGAAGTGTCTGTTTATCAAATTTTCAGATAGAATGAAGCTGGGAAGAGCAGTTAAAATGGTAAATAACAGAGTGAAACAACAACAACAACAACAACACAAATTAAAGACCCCACAGCCCAGAACAGTGGGCAGGGTCCACATTTCTACCTTTTAAACTTCATTTTGATCCAAGTCCTCTAGGGTTCATAAAAATCAGGTGCCCAGCCACAGAAGAGGGAAACACAGCTTAACACTGAGTGACAGAAAGAAATCCAGCAATTTTAGTTGACTAGAAGCTCAATAAAATATGGTCAGGCTGCCAAAAAAGCCCAACTAATCTTAGATCACTTTAATAGAAATATGTCCAGAACAAAGGAAATGACATATACTCTTTCCTGGTCAGACTACACCCAGTTTATTGTGCTCAGTTTTGGGCACCACTTTAAGTGGACCATAAACAAACTGGAAGTTGTCCAATGGATTATGTCAAAAAGATAGCTGAAACAACTGTTTAGCCTGCAGGAAGATTTAAGTTGCAAATCAATGCTGTAAAAAGGATGAGGAATCCTTTTTCTCTTTGACCTCAAGAGGGCAGAATTAAGATCTGTGATAGGCAGTTACAGGGAGCCAGATTCCAGCTCAACATAAGGAAGAATTTTCTACCAAATTTCCTCTCCAAAAATGGAAGAGCTGCCTCATGAAGCAGCCACCTCCCTGTTACTGAAAGTATTCAAGGAGAAGTTGGGTGATCACTCCTCAGAAATATTATAGTGGGATTCCAACACCAAACAGGGCATTCTGTTAGATGACCCCTGAAGACCCTTTTAACTCAAGGATGCAATGATTCTATGTCCTTACAAAATTCAGCATTCTCTTTCTCGTAAGAACTTGCGTACTGACGTGCCCACTAGATCCCGGCATTCCCAAATGATCAATTTTTTGTACAGTTAGGTCAAAACACCATGACCATGTTTAGAAATGCTTGAAGCATATGCTACATTTGAACTCTGTTTCTTATTTTGAGCATTAATGCCCTCAACTAAAATTACACTCCAGTGCCTAATAATTTTGTGGAGGTAACCCTGGGTTTTCAAAGGTTATAAGGAATTACAAGCTCTAGCAGGTCCTGGAAAGACTTCAAGTATGGGCCTGAAAATTAACTATGTATTTGCTGAAAAGCAGCCCAACAAAGTTCAGAGGGGCTCATCATTAACAGATTGGCTACCAGGCTGTGAATTTTTTTTTTTTAAATTGTAAAAACTTATAAAGAACATCTACAACACCTGAATGGTCTTGATCTCTGTAAGTAGAGGGGGTCAAATGAATAATCACAGGTCCTTGAAGTCTCATATAGCTATCATTTTCTCCTCAAATTTTTTTTAAAGTTTATCAAAGTTTATGGTAAAATGAGCCAATTCATAGATATTCATTTTACTTTTTCACTTTTGATGAATGTATCTCATCTTAACATAGTACTGTTATTGTTGACCTTCCACAGGTTTGTGACCCTGTTAGGCAGCCAACTTCAAGCAGAAGAGCAGCTTAATATAGATATAGATAGATTGTATATACTTCTATATGAACGTGTCTCCCCCAATAAAATGTAAGTCACCTGAGGGCAGGAAGTTAGTTTCATTTTTATCTTTATATTCCCAGGACCTAGCACACATTAGGTGTTTAATAAATGCTTGTTTGCTTGATTAATCATAATTCAAATCTATAAACAAAAATATTATCTATACAAGTGATGGATTTATTTGGGGGAAACTGATAATATAAACATATCAATTTGTATGAATTCTGGCCATTTATAAATGTACTTCTGAAATAAATAAGAACTAGAGGCTAACGAATTTCTTATTTTCAGACCCAGGAGATTTGACTAAGTCACCTGAGAGCTCTAACATGTTAGAACATGCACAAAGCAAAGTAATCTAAA